TTCCATTCCCTAAAGCCTAAACCCTAAACCCTAAACCGTGCTTGGGGTCAACTCTCGACCCATGACCCAGGACCCCAAGCACGTTATCTCAGCTGGAATGTTCCACGGCAAATGAATGCGCCGGGTTCCTGCTGGACCCATGATGGAAACAGCCGGAAACGCACTTCGAACAGTGGGGAGAATGCTACATTCCCACAACCTTCTGAGCCTTGCAAACAAAGCCCAATACAACCGTACCCTAAACCCTAAAACCTAAACCCTAAACCCTAAACCCTAAGCCCCAATACAACCGTACCACAACGACCACACGACCACCGACCCCTCACCCCCCCCTTGTGTCCCTTCGGCGATTGCGCTGGCCCTCGGGAGCACGGGGAATGCGCATCGCGCCTCGGACCGTTCAAAAAATAGGGTAAGGGCTCAGGACCCTGAACCTAAACCTTAAACCACCCTAAACCCTAAACCCTAAACCCTAAACCCTAAACCCTAAACCTACACAGGTTCAGGAGTTCCGACTCAGGGTCGAGACCCCCAGCAGGCTAAAGTTCTGAAGGTCACGCCATTGGATCTTTCAGGAATTGGAGAGCTCGGCTAGGAAGTTGTGAAGCTCCCGAATCCTGCCAACCCTGGACCCTAAACCCTCTAAACCCTGAACACAACATTCCTGTTCACTGCAAATATATATACCCTACGAACCCAACACACCCCAGCAATCCTCTAAATGGGTAGTTGTCAAAATTATGGTCCCTTTTGGGGTACCCTAAATAATAGGTGCCGTACGATAATAAGGACCCAAAAAGGGACCCTAATTTTGACAACCACCCAAATGCACACCCTATGAACCCCAAAAAAGCTTCAGGGTTTCGGCTCTGATGGGACGGCCTGAGAGATGGTTGGGGAGTGGCTAATGCAGGGGCCTTAATAGTTAGAATAGGGCTTTGGGGCCTGTTATAGTATAACTATAATCACGAAGCCCCAAGATAATGTTGGTAATTATTTAGGCCCCTACATTATATGCGATGCTGATCGAACTTAACAGAACACCAGGAAGACTAGCGGCTTTGATCATGGTGATACCAAGCCAAGCCCAAAAAAAACATAACCAAGAGAAGAAATATCACAAGCAGGCAACAACTTAGTCGGATGTAGTCATCTAGAGCTTAGAGCTGAGGTCCAGGGTCTTAGGACTTGGAGCTCAAATGCTGGAGGACGTGAGGGCCTGAACATCTCATATCCCGCCAGGCCCTGCGCAGAAAAACTTTCGGGTGCTTAGTAAGGAATGGGGGAATGGATCCTATGATAGTCCCTTAAGGTCCCTAAAAATAGTCCCTATAACCCATTCCCCCATTCCCTACAAACAATCGAAGCCGAGGTGCAGTAGCTTAATTCCTTCCCTGTGCGCCGGCACATGCCGTTCTTGGCCCACTCGCCGTGTGTCCGCCCCTGGCCACGGCCAGGAAACTAGGGCTTGGGGTCTAGGGTTTAGGGTTTAGGGTTTAGGGTTTAGGGTTTAGGGTTCAGTGTTTAGGGTTTAGGGTTTTGGGTTTGAGACCTTGGGGCTGAGAGTTGAGGGTTTAGGGTTCAATCGGATTTGAAAACCCAAGCGTTCATGACCGAAACCCTCGTCCCGACATCCGAAGAGCTTCATCCTGAGACGAGAAGGCGGTGCAGACCTTCAGTGCTCAGCCATGGCCCACACACCGCGAGACGAACCTAAATGGCAAGCTGTAAGTGAGCCCGAATGTGCTCTACAAATTCTTGCCAAACCCTGCAAACCCCAAACCCCTAAACCCCTAAGCCAAACCACTAAACCCCCTAAACGCCCTAAACCCCCAAACCCTAAACCCTAAACCCCTGCACCCCAGCCGGGCCTCAGCCTTCGCCAGAGTGATGCAACGGGGGAGCTCCTCCGGAAGGATTCTATAATGCTTGTTGGGTTTGAGGTTTAAGTGCTAGGGTAAGGACAACAGTTGCATGTGATGTTTTAATGGCTTATGTTGATGTATTTTCATTTTGAGGTGAGTGATTCGGGGATGGGGGTGTTGGGTTTGGGAGTTAGAGTTTCGGGCACGGTCAGGGTCACAAGGAGATTTCATGAGGCATCCTGCATCTAGCTTCGTGGCGCCTTTCGACCCGGATAAATAAATGCAAATATAAATACACACAAATAGTAGACAGATGCATGCATGCGTGCCTGTCTGTCTGTCTGTCCGTCCGTCCGTCTGTCTGTCTGCATGTCTGTCTGTACGCATGGATAGATGTATATATATATATATATGTATGTATGGATGTATGGATGTATGGATGTATGTACTAGGTATATGTCTGTATATGTCTGGCCGAAAGAAAAATCCTGGACTCTAGCCTAGACAGTGTAAACATAACTCACCTGTCAGGCATCCATATGGCATGGTGGGACTGAGGATTGCCGACAGGCGTACCAGCTTTGAATCGAGCTCTAGGTTTCCTCTCGGCTGGAGCAGAATATGAAGACGACCCTAAAGTAAAAGTGAACCCAAACTTTAAAACCAGCGCAGCAACCCTGAAGTGCTGGATGTAGCATGCGCCCCCGATACGTGTGCCGCAGCAAATGTGGGCATAGTCAGACATGTCGTGTCAAAGCCACCGGTTTGCAACAGCTTGTGTACGGGCACGAAGGATTCGGCATGTTCCGAAAGCACGGGGGCTTTTGCATTTCCAGGACTGAGGCTTCAGATGTTGTGGTGGGGGCAACCCTTATTGCCTGAAACCCTTCACATCTACTGTAGGGGCCTTATAATGATTAGAATAGGATTTTGGTGGCTTCTTATTACAGCTGGTGCATAATATACCCAAACCCTATTCTAAGTACTATTTCCCCTAGATTACTCTCCTCTTGTGGAGGGCACACATTCACGCAGGCGACCCTCCGGTGGTTGTCCAGCCACTCGCGATCCGGTGTTACGGCACGCTTGTCCTAAGACCACGGAGGAATTCGAAGTGCAGAAACGTTGGGCCTTAATCGGGGCCTCAATAATAATGCAGGGGCCTTAATGGTTAGAATAGGGTTCCTTTAAAGGGTTCCTTAAAGGGCTACTATAAGGGCTTAGGGTTTAGGGAATAGGGTTTGGGGGTAGATTATGCCATGATTATAGTAAGCAGCCTCCAGAATAGTATTGGTAACTATTTAAGCCCTTATATTATCGAGTCCTTTTTACATCCACTGAGGAGTATTACGATGGCAGAGATTTGAACGTTCTTCCGAGCGGTGCGAAGTCCAGGCTTCGTGGGGCCTGGCTCTAAACAAACACCGTCACAGCCACAAACCTTCCTGCGGTCCCCTAAGCCCCAGTGCAGGAAAGCACAGCTAGAAGGCCTTTAACAGGGGCCCAACATTGAAAAAATGCGGGTGCTGGAATCCTCTAGACTCCGAAAATACACCCTAAACCCTAAACCCTAAACCCTAAACCCTAAACCCTATTTATGTGCCTTTGTGCACTGCTGCCATTGTGCCTGAGACCCTCAGCCCTGAACCCCGAAAGCCTCAACAATCCCAGGAGAAGCCTTGTCGGTCCTGGAAGAACCTCCAGACCTTCTGAGCCTATAGGGTTTAGGGTTTAGGGTTTAGAGTTTGGGGTTTAGGGTTGGAGGTTCATGGGTAGTTATAAGTGGGGCTATAAGTCAGTATAGTTGCCTTTCTTATAACCCCATTTATAACTACCCATGAACCTCCAAGTCGGGTTTACGGTTTATTGTTCAGGAGTTTAGGATTTGGGGCTTCGACTTCGGGGCGTAAGAACTAAGGTTTAGGGTTCAGGGTTTCTTGGATCACTATCTTGAGTTTAGGGTCTAGGGTTTGGGCTGTAGTGTTTCGGGGTTAAGCTTTAAGGTCTTGGCTTCTATACAGATTTCTTTGACAAGCCTGTACTGCGCCCTGCTGTTGGCTGTCACCCACACCTGAACTTCACCTGAAGAACGGCAAAAAGACCCTGCCCTAAGCCCTAAGCCCGAAGCCCTAAGCCCTAAACCCTAAACCCTAAACCTCCTAAACCCTAAACCCTAAACCTCCTAAACCTCCTAAACCTCCTAAACCCTAAACCCTAAACCCTAAACCCTAAACCTCCTAAACCCTAAACCCTAAACCCTAAGCCTCCTAAACCCTAAACCCTAAACCCCTAAACCCTAAACCCTAAACCCCGAAAGCTGCAGCCAAGCGGCCGCATAAGGCATCCGCAACCCGATTGAAGGCCGAGTCCTTTGAAGGTCTTGGGTTTAGGGGTTTAGGTGTTTAGAAGGCAGTGGGGTACAAAGCAGATGCAGCCGAAGGGCGTCGTAACGTCAAAGATGCTGTCCCATTCATTATTCCTCAGGAAGCGCATCCGACTTTAAGGGTTTGGGCTTGTCGGCTTTCGGGCTGGCGGTGTTTTGGATGTTAGGGTGTAGGATATTTCGAGCTTGGGGTGAGTACGGTTTCTGGCAAATGTGTGGAGCAGCTTGCCAAGGTGTACAGTGGCGAGTTGGCCCAGTACTGCGGGATGTTTCCTGAGTAATACAGTAAACCCCGTTTGAAAACCTCCCAAATGTCCCAAACCGTCACCTCCTAAACGGCCACAAGACTGCGTTGCTGCTTGAGACACGAAGTCACCAGACACTTTGGATCCAGGCCCTCCAAAACCACGTCTGCTGCTTTCACTTTGGACCCAGGCCCTCCTAAACCGCGCCTGCTGCTTTCACTTTGGTCCCAGGCCCTCCAAAAGCACGTCTGCTGCTTTCACTTCGGTTCTAGGCCCTCCACAACCACGATCCGACGGTTTCGCGTTTCTTTGGGGCTTCACCCGAAAACACTTCATATTCAGTATGGCCTCCCGAACCTGTGCTCCAGCCTCCCGCACAAGCTGCAAAGTGGCCTCCAGTATGTCCTTCGCTTCAGCTAAACTTCTTCTTCGGCTTGATTCAAGAGCCGAAATGCAAAGATCCAAAGCAACAGTATGGACCGAAAAGCTGTGGAACTGAAAACGCGCTACGCGCTGTTGGACCAGCGCATATCAAATCCCTGCTGGTCCGCAAATCCCAAAGTGAACAAGTCGCACGTGCTTTACAATCCCTGCCTGCAACAGGACACGAAACCGAATAATCCCACTTTTCCATCTCCCTCTGTCACCACCCTTCTTGTCTTTGCCCTTTCCGCTACCCTTCTTAATTCTTGCCATTTTCCTTTACAGGCAGCCTGAAGGGACAGTCCCGTGAATTACAAATTTGGGGCATCTCCTTGTTCGAGAAGAATACAACGCTTTGGAACGTGTCACACTCTGCACACAATATGAAGATGTTCCGCCAACTCTACGATCACCCGATCTCGACCGGGATTGCTCAACCATGCTCAACCAATCATGCGTCTGCAGGACATGGCGATTAGCAGTGGAGTAATTTGTTGTCACTACCACAGGAACACCATACATATCCACACTGAACGCACAAGTTCCTCCCGCTGTGGAGCCAAAGTCCAAGTGATCGTAATTCCCATACAACTTCTCATGATGATCCACGACGAACTGAAGATCGCGAACATCGTCAAGCACCAAGCCATCATGGAAGCCACGTTGGTGAGGGAAAAATGCCAACGAACCAATCTTGAGCTCCAACGGGTTCCTGAAAAGGCGTTTGGCCCACTTCGTCTTGCCGGCTCTTGAGGGCCCAATGACCACCAGAATGGCATAGCGCAATGCATCCTTGGAGAAGTTTCGCAGCCACTCCGTTGCTGCAGGCACCTTTGGAAATGGAGCATAGATTTCCGGATTAGCACGAATGCGTTTCACACGCTCTGCCAAAGCCGCCTGCGCCTCGCACTTGGATGTCTGTTCCTGACACGCACGCAGATTACGCATGCGAGCTGGCACGCCGTCGCGAGACGGAACCCAGTACTCCTCGTAAACCGCCTCTGTGATCTTGTACTGTTTCCGCAGCGTTTCCGGTCAATTGCCTGACACTTGACATGAAGGCAATGATTCTGTCCAACATGGCATATGATTGCCGACTGTTAGCATGACACCCTGTCTGCGAGACGTTCCTTGCTTGTCGGCAAGGACATAGAAAAGTCCTGAAGGCACTTGCGACGCAAGCCATCTCCGCACAAATCCGCGCACGAAGCGTTTGGATGCACGCTCTGGAGTTTGAATCCTGTGCCATGCGCCATTCTGAGGCTGCCGTGAACTGAAGCATCAGATGAACATGACAGTTTCCGGATTGGCATTTCTCCATGGTAGCACACCAATGCAGAACCTTCCAGGTTGCCAAGGATGACGCCACAAAGCTCAGACATGCATCGCAACAGCCGACACCATTCCCCATGTAGGTCAGCAAAACTGCAGTGGACCGAATCCGATACTGCTTCTCTGCTACACTGCTACACACAGACCCGCTTCGAACCTTGTCGACGGCCTCTGTGGAGCCACCCTTGTCGGGGTGCACCTTCCTGATGACATGCCGGTATGCTTCTTCCAACTGCTCATCAGGTCTGTCCCGGTTGAACCCGGACTTGAGACCGAACTGCTCATAAAAGTACAGCAACAGGGTTACGAACGCACGTTTGGCTTCTTGAGGAGGCCGGGTCTTCATGGCTGAAGCTGAGGGTACACTCAGGTCGAAACTACTGCTGCATGTGGATTCTCAACGGTTCATGCAGGCAAAGTCCACAGCAAAGAGTACCGGAGCGTGGTGTCCAGAAGGCCTGGTGTTGCTCATGCTTCGGTCTCGAAAACATGCAAAACCCCTATATTTCAGGCGGAGTCCAACTCAACCCCGTTTTAACTATACAAGATATTATATTGTAATTTAAAACGGGTTCAGGACACCACCGCTTTGCAAGCCGCATGTTCATGCAGCCGATGGCCCCGGACATCTCACTTAGAACGAAGGACCTGCACGACCATCTCAGCTGTGGTGCTGGAAAAAAAAACTTGTAGCATGGGCCAGAGCATCTAAGAGCATTCAAAAACAAGGGGGGGTAAGCACAAAGAGCATCGCAGAGCATTCAATTCAAGGCGGGTTGAACTATTAGGGTCAAGCTTGAGGGGGTTTGGGGAGTGCTGGAGTTCCGTGAATTCATGTGCGCATTAAGTGCACCCAGTCCGGGACTCGCGAGTGATGCTCCCGCTCGACCGGGCACCCTCTGTGCCTCACATGTACACACAGGCGCACCGAATCCCTTGCACCCACCCTGATACTCGAGCGGCTTTTTTGGTCCGCGCCATTCGACATCCACGACCTTTGCCAAAAAAGGGTTAAGAATGCTCCGTCTTCCTGGGCGCTGCAGATCTGAGGATCGTTGCACACAGGGATTTGTGACCTGAGAAACTTGCGCAGGTGCTGCGACCAACGCCACTGAACAGCACGTGCTCTTACTGAAACTTCTCATTCGGCACTGCAGCAACACAGCACATGCTCCTGCTCAAACATCTCGCTGAGCACTGCGGTAAAACCGCCTTACGGCACATGCTCTTACTCAAACTTCTGAGACAGTCGCCTCTGACGCGTACAGAATTGGAGACCTGAGAAACTTGTGTAAGTGCTGCGAACATGCTCTTACTCAAGCATCTCCGTCCAAGCTGCGGCAGCACAGCCTAACAGCACATGCTCCAACTCAAGCTTCTCGCTGGCTCTGCAATCAGCCTTACGAGGACATGCTCTTACTCAAACTTCTCCCTCGGGGCACATCTGAGGCCTTTCAAGCGTACAGAGACTGGAGACCTGAGAAACTTGCGTAAGTGCTGCAAACCGCTGCGAACACATGCTCTTTCTCACGCTTCTCCCTGCCGCAGCAGCACAGCCTAACAGCACATGCTCCTACTTAAACTTCTCGCTGGCTATGCTCAAAACTTCTCCTTCGGTGGCAGATCCGAGGCGGTCGCCTTTCAAGCGTACAGAGATTGGAAACCTGAGAAGCTTGCGTAAATGCTGCAAGCCGCTGCGAACACATGCTCTTGCTCACGCTTCTCCCTGCTGCAACACCACAGCCTAACAACACATGCGCTAACCCAAACTTCTCGCTGGTTCTGCAAGTAACCTCACAGAAACATGCTCTTACTCAAACTTCTCCCTCGGTGGCAGATCCGAGGCGGTCGCCTTTCAAGCGTACAGAAATGGAAGAAGTGAAATGCTTGCGTAACTGCGAACACATGCTCTACTCAAGCTCCTCCCTCTAAGCTGCAGCTGCACAACCTAAGCTCCTACTCAAACTTCTCCTTGGGCGCCGCAGCTGACCGTCTAACAGCACATGTTTCTACTCTAATGTCTTTTTCTGGACCCTGCAAACCGCGGCAATCGTGTTTGAAGTGCACAGAACTTTGAAGAGAACTGAGAAACATGTGCCCGTGTCTGCTCTTACTCAAGCTTCTATCAACGACTGACCAGTTCTCGTGGCTGATAACTACTAATAAAAACCTCCCAGATGCACGTACCAAGTGTTGACTTTCAAAACTACTCCGAAAGCACGTACCGAGTGTTGACGTTCACAATCACCCAAATCCACCTACCGACTGTTGACGTTCGACACCTCAAACTTCTCGCAGGTGCCCAGACGCCTGTACCGAGTGTTGACTTGCAAAGCCACCCCTGATGCACGTACCGAGCGTTGACTTTCACAAGCACCCAAGTCCGCGCACTGACTGTTGACAATCGACACCTCAAACTCCTCTCATGCACGAGCCCAGCGTTGACTTTAAAAACCACCCCAAAAGCACGTACCGAGCATTGACTTTCACAAGCACCCAAGTCCACATACCGACTGGTAACTTTCCACACTTCAAACTTCTCAGGCGCCCAGATGCACCTTGCGAGTGTTGACTTTCAACACCACCCCTGACGCGCGTACCGAGCGTTGACTTCTTTCACAAGCACCCACACCCACCTACCGACTGTTGACTTTCGACACCTCAGACTTCTCTCAGGGCCCAGATCCAGGTACCGAGCGTTGACTTTCAAAACCACCGCGAAAGCAAGTACCGGGTGTTGACTTTCACAAGCACCCAAGTCCATGAACCGACTGTTGACTTTCGACACCTCCAACTTCTCTCAGTGTGCTGCAGATCCGAGGCAGTGGCCTTCATGGCATACAAAGTTCAGGCCGCTTAGGCTCGCACCAGAACTCTTTACCGCGCAGTGGCATAATGGCATAGTGTCTTATTTTGCAGCATGTCAGACCCACAAACTCAGAAACATCACATGTTGCCGTGTTGCCCAAGCGATGGTAACAACGCAGCAATGTTCGATGGTTTGGATTTGCTGCACATCGAGCCAACAACAATAACATTAAGCAAAGGACGCACTGTGCACAGCACTACTGATTCGGGACTACTCTACCACCAGAG